CTCCTGAACTATTAGCACAAGAGTCAAAGATTATCCTTTGCCTCTTATTTCTGGTTTATAACATGCCTTCGATGACATTACTCAGAAGTAAAATGGTGACACACAGGTCGATCATAGCACCACATTTCTTGATCCATCCACTGTCTTTGATTTAGATTTGTCATACTGCTAATCCAAATTCCAGTTCTGGATGAACAGAAATATCCTCAGTTTAAATCCCGAGGAGACTAAGGGTGTTGTCATTGATTCATTTCCTAGTTGCAATTAGGGGTGGCACAGTGACTCCATGGTTAGCGCTGCTGCCTCACAGCACCAGGGACCCAGGTTCAATTCCACCCTCGGGTGACTGTGCATACTCCACACAGACATTCTCCCCGTGTCTGCGTGGGTTTCCTCCGGGTGCTCCGGTTTCCTCCCACAGTCCAAAGAAAGAAAGAAAGGAAAGAGGAGGTCCCCGATGGTAGTAATATCTGGATTACTCCTGGTGCCACAAGCTAGTGAGGGTAGCAATAGGAGGATAGAGCAGATGAATGTGTGGCTAAGGAACTGGTGTGCAGAGAAGCATTCGCTTTTTGGTTCACTGGAATCTCTTCTGGGGTAGAAGTGACCTGTACAAGAAGGACGGATTGCAGCGGAATTGGAAAGGGGACTAATATACTGGCAAGGAGATTTGCTACAGCTGCCTAGGAAGAGCGGGGGCTGGTGGGTGGGACCCAGGGAGATATTGAGAAAAGAAAGCAGACTGATAGAGTTGGGAAAAGGAGTAAATCATACAGTCAGGGCAGACAGGAACAAAGCAGAGAATGAGGTAGGACTCATAAATTAAACTGCATTTATTTCAATGCAAGAGACCTAACAGGTGAGGCAGATCAACTCAGGGCATGGTTTGGAACATGGGACTGGGAGGGTGTTTTTGATTAAGGATAACATTACAGCTGTACTTAGGTAGGATATTCCTGGGAATATGTCCAGGGAAGTTATTAGGTCGAACTGAGAAATAGGAAAGGGATAATAACCTTATTGGATGGCTGGCAAATGGGAAGCATTCAAAAATGAGATAACGAGAATCCAGAGACAGCAGGCTCCTGTTGAGAGTGAAGGTTGCTGGATAACTAGTGAAATTGAGGTTTTGGTCAAAAAGGAAGCATATGTCAGGTTTAGACAGCAGGGATCGACTGAATCCTTAGAAGAGTATAAAGCAGTAGGAGTATACTTAAAAGGGAAATCAGGAAGGCAAAAAGGAGACCTGAAATAGTCTTGGCAAATAGGGTTAAGGAGAATCCAAAGGAATTTTATGAAAACATTAAGAACTAGGGAGAGAATAGGGCCCTTTAACGATCAACAAGGCTGCCTATGCTTGGAACCACAGGAGATGGGGGAGACACTAAGCGAGTACTTTGCATCAGTGTTTACTGTGGAGAAGAATATGGAAGATATAGAATGTGGAGAAATAAATATCAACATCTTGAAAAATAACCATTTTACAGAGGAGGTGGTGCTGGATGTCTTAAAATGCATAAAGATGGATAAATCCCTGGGACCTGGTCAGGTGTACCCTATAGCTCTGTGGGAAACAAGGGAAGAGATTGCTGGGCCTCTTGCTGAGATATTTGCATCATTGAGAGCCACAGGTGAGGTGCCAGAAGACTGGAGGTTGGCTAACTTTGTGCCACTATTTGAGAAAGGTGGTAAGGAAAAACCAGGGATCTACAGACCGGTGAGCCTGATATCGGTGGTGGGCAAGTTGTTGGAGGAGATCCTGACGGACAGGACTCATGTATTTGGAAAGGCAATGACTGGTTAGGGATAGTCAACATGGCTTTGTGTGTGGGAAATTGTGTCTCACTAAGTTGATTGAGTTTTTTGAGGAAATAACGAGGATTGATAAGGGCAGAGCAGTGGACATGATCTGTACGGACTTTAACAAGGTGTTTGACAAGGTTCCTCATGGTCGGCTGGTTAGCAAGGCTAGATCACATGGGATACAGGGAGATCTGGTCATTTGGATACAGAACTGGCTGAAAGGTACAAGACAAAGGGTGGTGATGGAGGGTTGCTTTTCAGACTGGAGGCCTGTGACCAGCTGTGTGCCACAAGGATTGGTGCTGGGTCCACTGCTTTTTGTCATTTATATAAATGATTTGGATGTGAACACAGGAGGTATGGTTAGTAAGTTTGCAGATTATACTAAAATTGACAGTGTAGTGGACAGTGAAGAAGGTTACCTCAGAGTACAACAGGATCTTGATCAGATGGGCCAATGGGCCAAGGAGCGGAAGATGGAGTTTAATTTAGATAAATGTGAGGCGCTGTATTTTGGAAAGACAAATCAGGGCAGGACTTATACACCTAATGGTGAGATCCTGCGGAGTGTTGCTGAACAAAGAGACCTTGGAGTGCAGGTTCATAGTTCAGTGAAAGTGGAGTCACAGATAGATATGATAGTGAGGGCAGTGTTCGGTAAGCTTGCCTTTATTGGTCAGTGCATTGAGTATAGGAGTTGGGAGGTCATGTTGTGGCCGTACAGCACATTGGTTCAGCCACTTTTGGAGTATTGCGTGCAATTCTGGTCTCCCTGCTATAGGATGGATGTTGTGAAACTTGAAAGGGTTCAGAAAAGATTTACAAGGATGTTGCCAGGTTTGGAGGGTTTGGGCTATACGGAGAAGCTGATTAGGCTGGGGTGATATTTCCTGGAGCATCGGAGGCTGACGGGTGAACTTATAGAGGTTTATAAAATCATGAGGGGCATGGATAGGCTAAATAGGCAAGTCTTTTCCATGAGTAGGGAGTCCAAAACTAGAGGACAGAGGTTTAAGGTGAGAGGGAAGGATATAAAAGGGACCTAAGGGGCAAATATTTCATCCAGAGGGTAGTGTGTACATGGAATGAGGTGCCAGAAGTAGAAATGGAGCCTGCCATGATTTCAACATTTACAAGGCATCAGGAAGGGTTTAATTAAGATTTGGGCCAAATGCTGGCAAATGAGACTAGATTTACGTAGGATATCTGGTCGGCATGGACGAGTTGGACTGAAGGGTCTGTTTCCATGCTGTATATCTCTATGACTCTTATGTCCAGGTCAGGTAGATTGGCCATGTTAAACTGCCCATCGTGTTGGGGTATGTGCAGGCTAGGTCCGTTAGCCATGGGAAATGCAGGGGTTGCAGGGATAGGGTAGGGGCGGTGGGTTTGTGTGGGATGCTCTTTGGAGGATTGGCGTGGACTCGATGGGCCGAATGACCTGCTTCCACACTGCAGGGGTTCTTTTCCATTCCATTCTAACTCAAGTGATTGTTCATGACATTGGTATTGTACTAAACCTGAGGTAAGCTTCCAACTACATATCTTCACCACTGCCAAGATCAGTTACTTCCAACTCTCAACACTGCCCATCTGCTGCTGAAATCTTGGTTTGACTGTATCAACACACTCCTAGCCAGTACCCAGCCTTCAATCTATATAAACCTGACCTCATCCAATACTCTATTGTCTTTATCCCAAAATCACACCAAACCCTATTTTTCTATCACCCACATGTTCACTGACCTATGTCTGTGCCTAGTTCCAAAGTCTTCTTCCTCACTTTCTGACCCCTCCACTGCCTTGCCTCACCTCTCCCTACTTTAGTAGCCCCCTCAGTCTGATATCTTTTTGAAATCCCTGCATTCCTTAAATTATGGCCCCTTGAGAAATCCTTCCAGCTTTGGCAGGTATGCACCTAATGGATTTGCTTGCAGATGTAATTAGCTAGTTAGCTAATTCTCTGACCCAGGAGAGCAACTAACAATAAATACTGAACAGTGAAAGTGAAAAGAATGTGTTTAGTGTCAAGAAATGGTCACATCTTCAATTCAAGGAATTTGACCACTTTTGAAGAGTAAGATCCCACTACTGAGATCCAAGACTTGGTTTTGGTGTATGGCAGAAAGCCGACCAGGAAGAACAATCTTCAAATATGGCTGTGGTATCTTAAGCATCAATACTTGATTTGGAATCTCATCCGAAAGACAAATGCCTCTTTCTTTAGACAACAGCGTAGAGCTGGAGGAACACAGCAGGCCAGGCAGCATCCGAGGAGCAGGAAAGTTGATGTTTCAGGACGGGACCCTTCTTTAGAAAGGAGGCGCATCAGAGGAGCAGAAAAGTTGACGTTTCGGGTCAGGATCCTCCTTCAGAAAGATCCCGAAATGTCAACCTTCCTGCTACACTGATGCTGCCTGGCCTGCTGTGTTCCTCCAGCTCCATACTGTGTTGTCTCTGGCTCCCACATCTACAGTTCTTGCTACTTCTGCCTCTTTCTTTATGATTAATAACATATATTTCTAACCAACCTCCTCAGATATGTTATTACACACCTGTGGAGCAGGTGGGACTTCAAACGCAGTCCACCCCACCCCATGCCCACCTTCATCCATGGGTTGGGGCGCTACCACTGCACTACAAGAGGGACACCCAACAAATGCCTCTTAACTTCTGGCATCAGTGCCTATCAGGTGCAGGAGTCTGGGCAAGATAGAGGACGAGGGTCTCCCCTCTATGGGAGCAAATTGCTGCAGACGCTGGAATCGGTACTGAAATCCAAAAAAAAAAAGGCTGGAAATCACAGGCGGGTCAGGCAGCATCCATTCTCCACTTCCATCTTCTCTTGCCTGGTCCCAAACCAAAGGAGAGCGTCAGCCGGCGGAGATGGCCCAGTTGGCGATGACCCCGTGGCCGAACAGTTCAGTTTGCAGCCTGACGACCGACGTGAGGGAGCCGGGGTCCGGATTAATTGATTCGCGGGTCGGGCCAGGAGAGGACGTTGAGGAGATGGAAGGCAGCCGCCTGGGCCCTGCCTCGCCAACACCTCTGCCTAGCAACAAGCACACGTGGACGCTGAAAGGCGGAGGTGCTGTGTGTAAATTCGAGGAGGAACAGCGAGTATTTCATAATCGATAACCCCTCTCCCACGAAGCTACCCTCCCTCTGCCTCCACCTTGCCGAGCTTAAACCCTCACCTCAACAAATGCAGCCTCCTGCTCTTCAACTGCGTCGCACGCACCGTCGCTTCGCGCGGGGCCCTCTGGGATTTGTAGTCCTCCCTCCTCGCCCCCTTTGCTTGAGTGCAATAGGCGGATGTAGGGAGAGTGGACTACAGCTCCCACAGGGCTCCGCGCGCTGTCAATCAGACGCCTATGTTTCAGCCCAAGCTTATTGTAAACACTGATCAACTACTTTTGTTGAAAACTTGGGTAAAGTGCACTGAGATCAACTGCATCATCTGCAAGAAGCACAAACGCAGCAGAACAGCATCTACACAAAGAGAATTGAACTTCGGGGGAATATCTGAACCCAATCTTATTAAAATTGTCAACAGAAATCAATTAGCTAATGATTTACTGATGTCTGTGCAGCTGCTGTGATGCACGCTATTCTTAGGATAGAAGTGGGCGAGTGCAGAGAAAAGGTCTATCTCTGCTTATGGTGAATCACACTTGTTAAAAGTCAATAAATCGTTAATGAGATTGAGAGTCTTGGCAACACTGCATTATTAATATTCATCTTTCTGTTTTGCAAATGTCAGTGGAAAATCAATACAAAGGCATCATCTAGAACGAGATCCCAGTTGGCACCATCTGCTTTATTTTAAGTGGCTGGCCGTAAATGTCGAGGACATATAGTATTTCGTAAATGTATAATATTTCAGATAACAAGCATCCACCCCCAATCTCATTTCGGAGTTGTATAAAGGGGAGGCTTCATATTTGTAAGGCAATTGACAAGAAGAAACATTTCAGATCTCAGAGTTTCTTCCTGGATTCTTTATATAAAAAAAAAGTTTTTTTTGCCATTGGACCAGAGAAGTGCAGTGAAACTCAATGATAAAGTCAGAGTTGTCAACAGTCAAAGACGCAAAATAATTGCAAAGCCTATTGAAATGCACCCAGCCAAACTTCACAAAGAAGGGTCATTAAATCAGATTTGTTAAAGCATTCAATTAGTCCATCTGCCCAAATTCATGCAAGGAACTACATCTTGAGTTTTGCAGCAGTTTTAAATGTTCAGCTCCCTGTTTAATCATTTCCATTCTGTTATAACTTTCTGAGTTTTGTTTGTCTTTCTAGAGGATGTGGACATCACCTACTAGGCCATCCCTAATTGGCCTTAAGAAAGTGACCCAGCTTCCTGAACCGCTGTAGTCCACGTAATATAATGACACACAGTGTGTTGTCAGAGAGAGAATTGCAAAAATTTTGATCCAGTGACAATGAAGGGACACTGTTTTAGTTCCATGTCCAGAGAGTGTGTGGCTTGGAGGGGTACCTGCAAATGGTGATGCACCCCGTGCATCTGCTGCCTTTCCTTCCAGATGGTAGGTGTCGCATTGGAGTTTGCTGCCTTACATCATGTGGGTAGTACACAACTTCTGCCACTGTGTGTCAGTGGTGAAGGGATTGAATGTTGACGGTAGCAGAGGGGATGCCAATCAGATAGATTGCTCTGAAAGGTTCATGAGTGTTGTTCGAGCTACACTACGCATGCAAGTGAACAGTATTCCATAAACAACTAACTTGTGCCTTGTGGGCAGAAACTGGGGAGTCAGGAGGTGAGTTACTTATAGCAGAATTCTCAGTCTCTGACCTGCTCTTGAAGAATTCATTTGGCAGGTGCAGTTCAATGACTGGTCAATAATAGCCCCCAGAATATTGATAGCAGGGGATTCAGCGATAGTATTGGCATTGAATGTCAAGGGAAGATGGTTAAACTCTGTCTTGTTGGAGATGGTCATTGCCTTGTTTGGTGCCAATATTACTTGCTACTTATCAGGTCAAGACTGAATATGATCCAGGTCTTGCTGCATTGGTTATGAACTGCCTCAGCATCTGAGGAATCACAAATAGTGCTGAGCATTGTGCAATCATCAGTGAACATCTCATTCTTGACCATATGTTGGAGAGAAGGTCATTTCTGTCACACCTGAAGATGTGTTGGGCTTAGGAAACTCCCTCAGGAACTCCTGATTTTTTTTTGACTGAGATGAATGATCTCCAACAATAAAAACCATATTCTTTGGTGCTAGTTATGACTAACAAATGGGGAGCTTCCACCCGATTACCATTGACTCCAATTTTACTAGGATTCCTGGATGCCACACTTGGTCATAGGCTACCTTGATATTAATGGCTCATACTGTCATCACAACCCTTGAGTTCAACTATTTTGTCCATGTTTGAAACAAGGCTGTAATGAGTTTAGGAGCTGGTGGAACTTTACGGAATCCAAATGGAGTAGCAATGAGCAAGTTACTGTTCAATAAGGACCAATTGATACACTGTATGGCCCCCTTCCAACATTTTTGCTGATAATTGAGAATAGACTAATCAAATGGTTGGATTTGTGCTGTTCTTTGTGGACAAGAGCTACCTGGGCAATTTTCTACACTGCCAGGTAAATGCCAGTGCTGTTCTTGGAACAGCTTGGCTGGAGAGCAATGCTACTTCTAGAACATAAGTCTTAAGTATTATTAATAGAATTTTGTCAGGACCCATAATCTTTGCAATATCCAGTGCCTCAAAAGTTTCTTGCTTTCATATGGAATGAATCAAATTTTCTGAAAAATGCCATTTGTAACGCGGGGGCCTTCTAATCAAAATGGATCACCTACTTGGCACTTCTGGCTTAAGATGGTTTATCCTTGTCTTTGGCGCTGATGCAACAATGAATTACCATCACTGAGGGTGTGGCTATTTGCTGTTTAATTATCCACCACCATTCATGACTGGAGTGACAGGGCTGCTCAGCAGAAATCTGATCCATTGTTTGTGGTATTGTTTAGCTCTTTCTGCTTAGGTGTTTGGCACGTTATCCTCTTTCGTTGCTTCACTAGGTTGACACCTCATCTTTGTTTAAAGATGCTGCTGTCATGCTGTCCTGCATTACACCATTCCCCTGGCTTGATGTTAATATTAGACTGGGGGATATGCAGGGCCATAAGATTACAAATTGCAGGGGAATACAGATCTGCTGCTGCTAATGATCCACAGAGTCTTATGGACACTTAGGTTAGAGTTGCTAGATCTATTCAAAATCAAATTAAACCAGTGATAGTGCCACAACATCAAAATGAATGCACACTTGCTGCTCCTGACATTTGATCACCATAGAAAGGTGAATAGAATGCAAACTACAAACCTGAAAGTAAGCATCCAAAGCAAATTTGACTAATTCAAACCCAGTGAAGGAGTTCCCTTGATAACACAAGACATTTAAATTTATATAGCACTGATGCAGCAGCATATATCCCAAGATGCTGGAGAGATATAGAAGCAGAAAAAAAGGGGAGTAAATCAGGGTGGTGATGAAAATCTTGCTCAAAAAATTGAGGGCTGAGAGAAATAATCAAGGAGGAGATGAGAAAAGAGGAGAGATAGAGTGGAATAGGAAGGAATTGCAGTGGTCAGGCTAAGGCAGCTCACCGCAGACTTCTGTGAAGGTTTTAGGAAGGCTAATGGAATACTATACTTTATTACAAGAAGAATTGAATATAAAAGTAAGGATGTTCTACTTGATTTGTACAGAGCATTGGTGAGACCACATCTCAAATATTGCATACATTTACGGTATCTTTACTTAAGGATGGATATAATTGCATTGGAGGCGGTTCAGAGAAGATTTACCAGATAGATACTTTGTGTGAGCAATTAGTTTTATGAGGATGGATTGAGATTGTTTCCACTGAAATTCAGAAGAGCGAGGGGTGATTTGATTGAGGGTTATAAGATCCTGAATAGTCTTTTAAAATTAGGGGTTGCCCTTTTTATGACAGAGAGGATGTTTTACTTTCTTTTACAAAGGGTTTTTGCGACTTTGGAACTCTCTGCCTCAGAAGATGATCCAAATGTCCATAAGGACCCCCATCAATTTTTACAGATGCGCCACAGAAAGCATTCTATCTGGATGCATCACGGCTTGGTATATCAACTGCTCTGCCTTGGACTGTAAGAAACTACAGAAAGTTGTGAACACAGGCCAGTCCATCACGTAAGCCAACCTCCCATCTATTAACTCCATCGACAGTTCTCATTGCCATGGAAAGGCAGCCAACATCATCAAAGACCACATCCCCCCAACCCCAGTTATAATCTCTTCCAGCCGCTTCCATAAGGCAGAAGATACAAAAGCTTAAACACATATGCCAACAGGTTCATCGCCACTGTTGTTAGACTTCTGAATGGGCTTCTCGAATTTCAAATCTAATGTTGATTTTGCTTTTTGTGCAAGTTGTTTGCAGCCGTAACTTGCATTCCTCGCGGTATTCAATCACCCTATGCTCTTTGTACGTTATGATTTGCCTGTACTGCATTCAAAACAAAACTTTTCATTGTACATAGGTAAATGTGACAATAATAAATCAAATCAAATCAAAACAAATCAAATTGAATATGGGGGTCATTGAGTACTTATAAGGCAGAGGTAGGTAGATTCTTGTTAGAAAATGTGGAATTTGGACCACAAATGATCTAATCAAATGACGCACCAGGTTTGAAGGGCCAAATGGCCTACTTTTGCTTCTAAATTCTATGTTCTCCAGGGCAATTAAGGATAGACAATAAATGTAGGCCTAGTCAGTGACACCCACATCTGATGAACAATTCAAACTAAAATTCAAAAAAATACATAGAATAGCAAGCGAAGGTTGTGAAATCAGTGGTGGGATATAAGATGCAAGTGAAAGACCAATGTCAGAGGATAGGAAGGTGAAGGGTAAATACAACAATATTTTTATCTTTAAAAGTTATCTTTTCAAAACCTCCGATTAAACTTGAAGCCATGTAATGTGCATGGAAGAAAGAAAGCACCAAATTACAGGTGTAACCACAAATAGACAATGGGGTTTGTGACATTGTTCAATATAAATGTATTAACCAATGCATTGAAAATAGCATTTGATGGAATTACAGTTAACACAGAGCAGAATTATACAAGGATCTCTGCCAGGAATTACACTGCAACTTCTGTGAATAATTTCTACATTGGAAGGAAACGCATCACCATATTCTCAAGGGCAATTAGGAATAGGACTGTATGTACTGGGCTTTGCTAGTGATGTCCATATCCTGAGAATTATGTTTA